TATTTCTGCGGAAATTGAGACGAAACACAATCAGTAAGTAACAAATTAACGTTACTGTTGAAGGTTTTATGTGTAATAATGATATTAATTGTGTGAATAAAATGTCCTTTGATCAAAATGTATATTACAGGTTATGTTTGTAATTTGAATTTCCAGTCAGTCACATTGTCAGGTGTCTTATTGTTATAATCCATTTTATACAATTTTTTTTGACTGAAATGTCTCATGTGCTGTTATATGTTAATATTAATGCCTTTATTATTACACAGAGAAACAGAAAAGCCACAGGGATGAAACTGATAATGGAAAGAAGAACTGCTCTAAAAGTCACAACACTGAAGATCAGTTTGTCACTGAAGAAGAAGGAGAGAGAGAGCAGCTGATGACACATGAAACTGTGCAAGTGGAGGTTTTGAACGAGGGAAAAGAGAAAAGGAAACGTGTAAGTAAAGAAACAGGACATTCTTTTCGGTAGAGGGAGAAAAATGAGGAGCAAGAAAAGTTTCATCTGAGCAAGAAGGATATTATCAAACTAAAACTCAAAATGCAACTTCAGAGTAATTCTGGTAAATGTTTATGTTACAGGCTAAACATTTTCAACTGTTCAACAATTCAAATGCTGCAGAAATCACACTTGATGCTTGGGTGTGTGTGTCATTGTGTGGTATCTTTTCACCTTTTTTTGTCTGAATAAAATCATGTCTCACATGTCTCTTGTCTCTGACCATCTCTGTCATTTCTTTTAGTTGAAGAAGCAGAAATGTGAGCAAGAGGAGCAGCAGAGGAAGGAGGAGGAGGAAGAGCAGCAGAGGAGGGAGGAAGCTCAGAATAGAGTGAAAGAGAAGCTGAAGACCAAGAAGAATGAGGTTCATATTCACTTTAATAATATAATATACTGATTTGAGATTAAAGTCACACTCTTTGTGTCATCCATAGTGTAAGGTCAAACTGACAGTTTTGTCAGTTTGTAAACTTTTAAATGTCACTCATTGTGTCTCTGGACCTTCTCTCTCTACAATCTAAGCTGCAGCAGCTCAATGGAGAGAAGCAGGAGATCCAGAACAACCTGCAGGCCCTGACGAAAGAGCTGGAGAACAAACACAAAGAGGTTCATGTCTTCATCTTCATTTACTGAGATGTGTCAGTAACTCTGCTGATTGAGGATCCACTATACCATGTTTATCTTATTGAAGTCACTTCTACTCAGTTATGTAGCATATAAAATCTACTTAACAGTTAGTTACTCTTTTCATATTGTGCTAAGTTTAACTGTGTCAAGCTTAAATGTGGTGCTAATGTCTCTATCACTTCCTCCTAGCTGGAGACAATCAAAGCCACCCTATCCCAGTCTTCCTGGTGGCCTTGGTGGGTAAGTGCTCATGGTTTGCATGCAATAACACACTCTGAGGTGTCCTCCAAAAAATAAGAAGCAAGTCTGTTGTAATAGAGCCATTACTTTCCCCCTTGCACCCCTTCTATCATGAATGAGAGCAATGCTGGACTGATCTTGATCAACTTCATTAACAGTCACATTATGCAGCCCTGAACTACTTTATCAAAGCAGAGGAGCGGAAGAAAGGATCTGAATTTGTGCAACAAATACAGAGAGGAAACCATATGTTACCACCCACAGGCCTGAAATAAAACTTTGATCTTGAAATGTAATTTTTTAAAGATTTCTTTCTTCACTCAATGTTTTACATACATAGGCCCAAAAAGACAATCACACACAGGGCTTATAGACATGGGCTGCCATATATAGGCACCCTGGGAGCAGTTAGGGGTTTGGTGCCTTGCTCAGGTGCACCTCAGCAGTGTCCAGGAGGAAAAACTGGCATCTCACCAGCTAGTCCACACCCCAAACGCAGACTGAGCTACCTAGCGTCATGCAGAGCTGAGGATTAATTTCTTTACCATATGGGTCACTGTATAATATGTTCTATCACATGTTTTAATGATCAGAGTCACAGAAAAGAAGATGAGCAGAAGAAGAATAAAGCTGAGCAGGAAGTGGAGACACTGAAGAAGAAGATGGAGGATCACCAGAAGACATTGGACACCAAAATCAAAGAGGTTTCTATTTTTTATCTTGTCCTCGAAACATTTTGTTAACAGCCACCTGCTTGTTTGTTGTCAGTTTAATTTCTCTGTCTGCATTCAGGTCACTTCTTAAACCAAGTCAACTAAAGACCAGAACTGTCAATCACCCCTCTGATCTATATTCCACTTCAACATAAAGATAATGTATTTCGTTTTGAGGCACATCTGATGCTGTTGTTGTGAGGACTGTGTTACACTGGTTGTTGCAGTTTTCCAAACATTATAAGAAATGTTTGTC